TTGTTAATTTGTGGTCAGCTCAAAGTTACTAGTTCACATCATTTTTTTTTATCCTGTCTGTATTATTTTTATATATAATTCAAGGCAATAAACATACCTAATATTCCTTCCTCTTTCTATTTTCCTCACAACAGCAAACCTGTGAAGCAAGTGGGGCTGAGAGACAGTGACTGGCCCAAAGTCACCCAACTTTCATGCTAAAGGCAGGACTAGAACTCAGTCCTCTGGCTTCCAGCATGGTGCTTTAATAAACAGACCAATCCGAACACCTATCTACTGCACCTATATTATCTATTATCCAAGAACAAACTCACATAATTCATGATCCTAAACCAAAGCAAGCCCAAAAATCACAATAAAAAGACAAAATAAATACTCTAAAGCTACAATGTCACATATTTTTAGAGGATAAACATTGTTTATTTCCAGGTAAATAAACAAAAGTATTTTGCTAACAATGTCTCCCACTGTCTCACAGGGCACAGTTATGTAAATTGTACTTAGTCACTTTTATTTAATTGACCTCAAAGGGCTGTTGCGAACATAACAGGTGCTACCATGGGCTCTTTGGAGAAATATGAAAGTCAAGCGTTTCCTTAGGAAGTGCTGCAGCATTTCCATTGTCAGTATTGTAGAAATTTTTTATAGAGTAGGAACTGAACTTGAAACTATTTTTTTTTTCAATCTTAAGAGACTAGTAGCTTAAAATCAATACATCTGTAATAAATAAATTCACCTATTAACTATCCTGAATTCAGAAGTACCAAAACATCAACCCACATCAAGTCTGCAGGCCTATGCCCAGTCCTCTATCTACCCAGGCTTCTGAATAAATATCAGTATTGTTTGTATCCCAAAGCTGCATTCCACGTAAGATTCAAGTCTTATGTTTGAACATTATTTGAATAACCCCCCTATGTTCATATTTCAGAAAGTATTTGTTCTGAAAGCTTGATAAATGAAAGGATATCCACATTTCCATCATTTTTCCTTAGCTTCAGTATGCATATTAATATATATATATTAAAAAAAGGCAGGCAGACCATTCCCTTTAACATCCATTCCCTGCACTCTAAATTTACACACTCAAGATCACACTACTTTTATATTATCTTAACTACTGCTTATCCCATCACTGAAAGCAAACCAGACAGACTTTGCTCCCCCCCAAAAATCTCCACTACAGATTATAAGGGACGACGGATCATGCAACACGCTTTTGATTATGTATTGCATTTTTACACTGAATTTTGATTCAGAAAAAAGCTTGGTTTACACATCATGCTGAGCAACAGTGTAGCTTGAACCAATGTGCCAACCCAAGCAAGTGTCTGTCATTCGGGGAACCATGAAAAACCTGACAAAAGCTTTCTAGAAGGTTGACAGCTTTGAAAAGAAACCTGGAGAGGGGGGAAAAAAAGCAACATAGGCAAACGTGAAATACTTCACCTTCACACTCCAGGTTCTTCAGTGTATAGTTCTTTCCCCCTGGATATGAATTCTTGGGATGGAAGCCGCCAAGTGTCTCCGGAGAGGATCAAATTAGGGATTATTATTTTATATTCATAACTTCCCAGTGGATCAGATTCCACCACCACCACCATTATCCCTTTTCCTCTAAACAGAAGTGCGAAGGGTTATCTATCTATCTATCTATCTATCTATCTATCTATCTATCTATCTATCTATCTATCTATCTATCTACCTTTGAACACACTACGCAAATGACAAGATGAGATGGCGATTACAGGGTTAATTACTCCGGATTCTGCGTAAGTTATCTTTGAGAATTGCTTCCCAACGCACTTTTTTTTTTTCTCCCTCGAGAGGAGGAAAGCGAAGGAGACGAGCGAGGCTTCCGAGAGGCGAATTACAAGCCCCCCACCCCCAGTGGCACCTCCCGGAGATGCGAACAATTCCCTCTCAAGCAACCAAAGAAACGTCGTAAGCACCTTTACGTCTACACCGCCCTCCCTCCCCTCCGCTCCACAGCCGCCGGTTTACCTTCCCAAGTCACGTCGTACATCTCCGAGACTTTCGCCATCTTGCCGGGCTCCCCCCCTCCCTTCGCCGAGCGACCGGCTCACGTGATCCCGTTTAGAGCCCCGCCCTCAGACTGCCAGCCCGTGCCGGCAGGTTTTGCGAACGCGATCTTGATTGGCTGGGAGCGCGGAGGGCGGGAAAGAAGGAGATTTAGGCGTTGTCAAAGGGCCCGGGGGACTCGCTCGCTCTGTTGAAGAAAGGCGAAGGCAATTTGCTGGTCTTGCTGCCAATCAGTGGGTATAGCCGGGCTCCTCCTGGAGGTGTTGGTTCAGAAGCAAGAAAGGGGGCATGTTGGTGATGCGCACCTGCTTGGGTTTGCATTGCATCTGTGGGAAGCCGTCAGCCCGCCCCAGAAGAATGAAATATTTTAGGTTATATTAAAAAGGCAGTGAAAGGCTTAGAGCAGGAGTCACCAATTTGGCAGCTTTAAGACTTGTGGACTTCCACTCCCAGAATTCTCCAGCCAGTTATGCTGGCTGGAGAATTCTGGGAATGGAAGTCCACAAGTCTTAAAGCTGCCAAGTTTGAAGACCTCTGGCTTAGAGCGTACCAGGAGTGGGTTCTAAATTTTTTTACTACCGGTTCTGTGGGTGTGGCTTATTTTGTGGGTGTGGCTTGATGGTCGCGTGATAATTCTTTAGGATTTAGCAGAGGTACTGGTCTACCAGGCTTTTAACTGCTTGCAGAGCTGTACCGGTCTGCTCAATTCGTTTTTGGAGGCACTGGTCTACCCATTTCTTTTTGGAGGCACCGGTCTACTCATTTGTTTTTGGAGGCACCGGTCTACCACCACACTGCCTTTTAACACTGATCAGCTGTAGGGCGGCCCTTTGAAGCCCCAGGGCAAGAGTTTAAACATTTTTTTTCCTTCTAGCCGATCAGCTGGGACTCGGGAGGCAGCGAATAGATTGGGGGTGGGGCCAAATAAAAGGTAAGAATAACGCAGGGGGGTGGGAGGGCCCAGCTCCCGAACAAAGAGAACCAGTTCGGTGATGTCATATCGTCACTGCTACCGGCTCGGCCGAACCGGGAGGAACCCACCACTGGAGCATACACAGAGTGTAACCTAATTCAGCTTTTGTTAATTGCTGTTGAGAGAAGCTCCATTGTAACCTAAGGTGCCAACTTCATAGATAAGGCCTCTGGGTGAATTGCCAAGTAGCTAAAGTAACTTCTTGTGAAAAGTAAAATGCGGATTCTGCCAAGTAGCCTTGCTTGTAACTTAAAATGCATATTCTCAGCAACCTTATATAAGAGATCCCACTTATGACTGTATGACTGTAACCTTTTTGCTGTTATCCTTACGATTTATATTGATATTGTTTCCTGATTGCTTATTTGTAACCTATGATTTTCATTAAGTGTTGTACCTTATGATTCTTGATGAATGTATCTTTTATTTTATGTACACTGAGAGCATATGCACCAATTCCTGTGTTTTTTTACATTTCCAACAAACCGGATTTACATTCAGGTACATTTTCGCTAACCTTGCAGGGGCCAGATACCATCGGTACCACATCTTATAGTGATTTTCTTTATAAGCTACCAATTTTGTCATACTGTAATTGTTTTCCCATGCCCTTTCCCATTCTTCTAACACTATACTGTGCCCGATGTTCCTCGCCCACGCTATCATCTGCCCTTTGACCAATTCTTCTGCCAAATCATATTCAAGTAAGTATTTATAAATTTTCGAAATTAATTTCCCTTCTTTAGATTCTAATAATTTATCCAATTGGTTTTGTTTTAGGTCTATTCCTCCTTCCTCTTGATCTATATGCATCCGAAGAAGTCAGTTTAAACATACAAAAGTGTCAAAAAAGATAGAAAAGACACTTTTGTATGTTTTAACCGACTTCTTTGGATGCATATAGTGGTTAGACTGATGGAGGATTGAAATTGGATTGCAGGGAAGAAAAGAAGAGAAGACAGAGAGTTTCATCTGTAACCTGCAATCTGTGCAACCAGATGCCTTTTACTGATAAAATGTGTCATATTTTACTGATGCATTTTATCAATAAAAGGATGTAGGATTGATGGCAGATGTCACGATGCCAGCACATGGAAGTGGAAGGGGAAGTGTCAACATAGGGTGGGGAAGGGATTAGCTTTTTATCTTCTTTAGCCAAAGAAGAATTACATGTCATTGGAAAAGGTTTTCTGGAGAAACATCTACAGCAGAATTTTCTAATCTTGTTAAGTTCAAGATGTCGGGACATTCAGGTAGTTAAAGTTTACATATCTTAAAGCTGCCATTAGTGTACAACAGAGATGGCTGAACTTCAGGTCTGAGTGAATGCATTTCTTGGCATGAGTTCAAGTGTCTTCTGAAATATCTCAGGAATTAAGGCAGATTTTTCTAATTCAGAGTTAGTTTGCTTGGTTTGGGCTTAATGCAAAGTCTGAATCCAGCTTACGGTTAACCATGCTTAATCATGATTAAGGCACACTGTGACTTAACATGGTGCATGAGCCAGACCACTGTGCTTTAGCTATAGGTGTCAAAACCACTTGGGAGTAGAGTTGTAAGTGGAAACATAACAAACCAGGGGAATGCAATAATGAACATGTATTAGATTTCTTTTCACTCCAAATACCAATAAAGTTATGTTACACAATGAATGTAAACACACAAAACTATGAATTATTTTGATTGCCATACTTATTTATCCTGCAATAATAGTAATGCTTTCTCTACACACTCATTTTATTCTTGGTGAAACTTCGATAAAGTTTTCAGATTCTACTTTATAATTCTATTGAATGGGGCTAGATATATTTCTGTCCAGGATTCTGAAATTACTGCTTCTCTAAAGTATATCACTTTGTTGTTAGTGAATCAATAGGCAGAACTTTGCATATAACATAACACAAGAGTTTAGAATTTAGAAGCTATATTTAGCAAGACTCAGCAATTACCACTTTAGCAGGGAAAGGAACTGGATTGTAACTGAACTAACTAGTTTTCATTTCCTTTTTATCTCAGAGAATCCAAATGGAACCATAGGATTCATAACTCTCAAAACTCTGCATTCTTTTCAGTAATACTAAAGTCACAGCTGAGCACAGTAAGCATGGAATCATTGATATTTTTGCATAATTCAGCTACAAACCAGTAGCAGGAGAGAAAGGAAAAGATATGTGAAATCATAATTTGATTTATCTACTAGATGAGTTTATTTCCTAAATCATGGTTTGTTTAGCCATTTTAATTAGCCACAATTGCCTAGATTTGTGTTTCGATATACCCAACCTCTTACTAACCATAGTGGCAGCATGCCAATATAAAACTGGTCATTGTTTTGTTTTATGGGCTTAATGTGGGTTTTTTAAAACCTGGAATCACAGCCATTTTGAGCTTCTGTGTATTTTAAAATATGCACACATAGTCAAAACATAGTTTAAACTTGTGACCTCTTGTATATTGGCTGCTTCCATCATAATGAAAGTCCCTCTTTTCCCTTGCTTACACAAAGCCTAGTGAGGCAACAGAGATAGATTTAAGTTGGATTCTAAAATGTGTCCAAAAGTCAAAGGAAATCCTCAGACATTTACAATTGTATATTTCAAGGAAGCTCCTAGATCATATAGACAATATATGAAAATCCTATTAATTCCTATTAATGAATTTGCTAGTTAGAATGTTCTCTGGGAACTCCTTACAAACATTGGACATCTTGTCAAAAGTCCTTTGGAGTACACAGATAATCAATTTAAATAAATTTAAATAAATATAAGTAAATAAATAAATCTTCAAGAATATGTGCTCTTCTGTAAAAAAAAAAAATCTCTCTGTTTTATAATATACAGTAACTGTTACTCCTTAGTAGTGTGATTTTTTTTCCAAATGTGTCTTGCATTTGTTATCAGTTGTGGAGAAAAAAAGCCAGTGATCTAGAGCAGATGTTTATAAACATGTCCACAGAAAATAAATAAACTACAACATTTGAATAAATCCATGAAATAACATCATTAATCTGGGATGTGGATGCCTTACAGAGACATGTTGTTGGACAGTTTTGTTGATCAACAAATAATATTTATTAGTATAAGTAATAGTAATATAAACAATGTTTATATTAACAAACAATGTTTGTTACTTTTTATAATGAAATGTATTTTGTAGTAAGCAACTTCCATGGAGCTAAAAATAAAAGATCAAGTATATTTTAATCAAGTTGATTAAAATATTTAATCATTATTAATCAATTCAAAGAGGAAGGCCTAGCTGAAAAGGAAGATTTTGGGCAAAGCTCCCTAAAGATGGCATTCACCAGTTTGGGAAGATAAGCATGTCACTTTTTTCAATGCCATTGTAACTTTGAATGCTCAGTAAATGAACTGTTGTAACTTGAAGACCACCTGTACTGAATGACCATTATTACTCATAATGGTGTCTGTCTATCATGTGATCCTTCTTATTGTTATTACTTAATTTTATATCCCATTTGACTTCCAGGAATCTAAGATCAATGAAAATTTTATATCTCCCCATTTATCTATATTATTACCTACAGCAGCCTTTCTACCACCCACTTCACAATGAAGGAACTCTTAAAAAAATTACCAGATATCATGGTAATTGCATTTTTATGCAATTATGCTCTGCATAAAAATAGCAAAAAATATAAAAACTTCACATCACCATTCTCTTCTAACCTACACAATCCATGTTTTACAGCAACAGAAATGGGGGCAGGCTGTCAACTGAATCACAATGCATAAAAATTCCCTCCATTGCAAATGCTCACATTTGCAAAAAATGTTTTCAATCATGATCTTTTGTGAAACTGAAGGGTTCTGCAAGATTGTTATTCTCCAATCTTATAGGAACTTTATAAAGATGAAGTCATAATACTCTTCATATTTCCTTTAAAAAAGAAGAAGAACTCAGCTCATAAACTCAAGTGAAATTTGGCTCAATTGACTGTTTCTGGATTGGATCCTAGTGTTGATAAAACTCCGGTTCTGATTTCTGCTGGCATGTTTAATTGCAAGCAGAATGCTATTTTATTTAGGCTGCAAATTAAAAACAGAAAAGAGATTGTTGAAAACTATGTTTTGGGCTAGTTATGAGCATTCTTATTTTGTCTTGAGAAATATGTCATTATTTTTAACAGAGACATGCCTGGTGTGCTTAAGATATCAAGGCTTATTTAAATAGGCATAGAACAAAGTCTAGCATCTCCAAGGAAAGGATGCTGTGTCTGGAAAACAACAGATGTAGACTCAAATAATTCAGCCCCGAATGATACAGATGTTTTCTTGAATGATTTTAAGGCAATACTGCATAAAATACTGCAAAATAAAAAAATTACAGACCACACACATACTCAAAATCCAGAATAGCAATATTATCTTTCTTGGTTGCCTAATATGCAACGAATAAACCATTGTTAGGATAATAATATATATGATTCTGGGGATCGTGGAATCTTTAGTTGAAATCCAAATGTTGTACGTGTTTATGTCACCAACAGCTGAGAACGCTTAGTTCAGAGTTGTCATGTATATTAGAAGTGGCAGGAACCACTGGCATCATCTGGAAGTATCCAGCACAAGTTCCAGTAACATATTTAACTAGGCCCTTTGGCAACAATATTATACCTCAAAAAGCTGTTGCATTTGGAATAATTCTTTAAAGACATTATTTTGAGCAAGTGGCCTTAGTAGAAGATGTTTTACCCATAAACAAAATGTTGTTAATTTATTGGGCAACCTACAAATAAAAAGGAAGCAAACCCCCCCAAAAAATGAAAATAATCATACTTCAGTTGCAATCTGAGGTCTGATCTCTTTTCTTGTCTCTTTTAATACAGGCATAAAGATACACACTGCACATTGTATGTTGTGACATTGTTTTCAAGCCAGGAAAGCATATTTTATCTTCATAATGGTCAGCAGTAAAACACAAGTCAGCAATATTTACCAATATTTACCAAGTTCTCTCCATTGCCGCCTTCATCCTACATATCTCTTCCCATGCCAGTTGCAGTCTTCCATCTCACACAGTATGTTCTGAACTCTTCCCCCTCCCTCACAGGACTTCAATTATTCATTCATCTAATTTGCATTGCCACCTATATCTATTCAATAATCTCTGTGCGGCAAACAAACAAAAATGAAGGATTGCCATAAAATAAAATAAAATAATTAAAACTACACTGAGACTCATTAGAAACCCAAATTGTCAGACACAAGGTTCAGTCTCTCTTGGATCACATTTGCCAGACCAATTTCAGTCTCATTCTTTCCAGTGCTTGGGAAGTGTAGCTCATCTCTTGCCAGAAGTCCCTCATCTTGGAAATATGTCCAAACGCTGTTATCTTGGGTACCATCAAAGGACCCAGCTCATAATATCCAGTGTTCTCTGTCTTTCTGGATGATGTCCTTTGACAAAAAGGCATGATAAAAACGCCCTAATCTTTTTTTAAAAAATCCTTCTGCCTGGTGTTCTAGGATCCTTTTCAGTTTCTTCAGGGATGTGCCTGGTTTTGTCATTTGGAACCATCATTCCACATGGTTCAGTGGAAACAGATACTTAACTGGGTTTAAATGGGAAGTCATTCTATTAACATCTCAATATGGTGCTGGAGAAGACTCCTGCGAGTCCCTTGGACTGCAAGGCAATCAAACTGGTCAGTCCTAGAGGAGATCAACCCTGACTACTATTTAGAAGGCCAGATCCTGAAGATGAAACTCAAATATTTTGGCCACCTAATGAGAAGGAAGGACTCACTGGAGAAGAGCCTAATGCTGGGAAAGATTGAGGGCAAAAGAAGAAAGGGACGACAGAGAACAAGGTGGCTGGATGGAGTCACTGAAGCAGTAGGCGTGAGCTTAAATGGACTCCAGAGGATGGTAGAGGACAGGAAGGCCTAGAGGAACATTGTCCATGGGGTCACAATGGGTCGGACATGACTTTGCAACTAACAACAATAACAAATGTGCCCTCTGTTGAGATGCTTTGAGATGTTTTGAGATGCTAACTGACTGACATGACCTTGCTTTCTGCAGGAATATTTCACCTGGAAACAAGGTGCTGAATATTCAGATATAACTCAGAAGTAATCAGGCTCAATTGAGGCTTTTAGAGGGGGGGGGAGAGAAATGGGGGAAACCCACCAATCAGCAGGATCCTCTTTTTTGCTCCTTTTTTAATGATCTAGCAAGCTTCTGCCTAGTTACCTCTCTGGGCCTCACCTTTTTTTTCTTTTCAACAGAGCTTTTTTCCCTCTTTCATGGACAATTCCTGCAGATGGTAACTGGTAACTTTCTGTTCTGTATTCTCTGTTCTTTTAATTAAACTGACTTGAGCCCAGCTTCAATGTTTTGATGTGCAAACCAAAAGTTCGAGAAATGCTTTTGAGCCCCAAATCAAGGCCATGGATGTTATTAAGTAATATCTGAAACCTCTACAAGATATTTAAGAGCTACTTAAATAGAGAATTGGAATTCTCTATTTTTTTTAAGGAATAAAATACCACATTTTTCGTAGAACCTCATGAAATCAAGATTATATTAAATATGAATAGTACTTTTTTCCTTCTCTTCTTTTTTTTTTTAAAGTGCAGTGATTATGATGGGAAAACAATGTTTATTGGCACCAATGTGAAACAAAGAAGGGTCTTTTACACAGCTAATGTCTTGATAGTTAGCAAGATGTATTTTCTCCACAATTAGATTTGCTTGAATTATTTTACTGGATCAAGGAAAAATATTTGAATTTGTTACTAGAAAGTCATTAACAATTAGTCTGGCTTGCAGTCCAGAATTAGGTTCTGACTAGGAATATTTTTTTGAGTTCTTGAGCACACTTACAACAGTAATTCATTTTTAATATTTGTTACAGTTCCAGAGTTTCTGCCTTAATGTAACTGTTTTTTCTATAGTACTGTATTATGCTACCACTAATAAATTTCCCAAATCCTGTGTTTGCATAACTCACTTGTCCATGACCTGCATGTTTAGAAAGTGGCATAACAAGCCAAATAAATGAATAAATGCAATATATTTATATTTTATAACAGTGTTATTAATTTAATACATTTAATGGTGATAAAAACAAAATAAATCAGACAACTAAAAAGATTTAGAAGATCTACCTATAATTAAAAAGAAAAAGATTTGTTTGGGAAAGTGAAAGACTAGGCTGTAATCAGGAGAATATTTTTAGGTAGGGAAGGAGATTAACATGTAATTTTACCTTATAATGAAAATGTGTGAGACATGATTAATAAAGAGGGCTAAATGCGGGTGTTTATCCATAAAGGAATAAAGGTGCATAGTTACAAATGTGCAAAGGATAATTGCAAATGTCAAAATCTTTTCAATTACAGTGGTGGTCTGTATGATATTGATTATAATCCTATCAAGCTGTGGTTAATAGAGTTGCAATTATCTCTCCAGTAAATACATATTCTGTAATAACAGTTTAGTGTTCAGAACCAAAATGAAATAGCCACAATTAAACCACAGTCTTTCTGGAAACCATGTAATATTTGGGTGTCCAGTAGGATAATGGACCACCCAATCTGTAATTGACTGTTGTTTCTCCAAGTTAAACTCTACCAGTTTCCAATTGAAGAAAACTGAAGTCTCAGGGCAGAACATTATATATTTCATGTACAAAGTATAATATTATTTTAAGCAGAAAATTATAAAATCCTGAATTTTCCATTTTATAATATATATGTATTATTGATTCTGGAATAGTAATATAGTTGGTCCAAAATTGCCTATTTAGCTTCAATTTCACATCTGATTTGTAATAGGCAATATGTAAAAGACAAATAATTGATCTTGTGAAGCCAAGGATTTTTGTACTTCTTTTATAATAAGGCATTTGTGAAGTTACACAGCCTAAGAAGATGGATGGAGAGAAACACCCTTTATAAAAATACAACCCAAGATCTTTTATGGAAGATGAGTGGTATCAGCTGCAAAATAAATAAAAGGAATGACTGCTTCACAAACCATAATAATTATCCCATGAAATTTATTACTGTAAGATTGGCTACTTCTGTTGACAGTTTTTAACAGGCAGAATGCAAGAATTCATGGCAGACGAGACTCTTTGTTTTTACATTATCATGGATGCATTTATTTTAAATATTCTTCCCTTAGAAGCAGAGATTTCCCATAGAGAGTTATAACATACCATAATCACAACTATTATTTTTTATAAAACTCTCAAAACAATGATCTATTAAAAAATCTATGTTCAAAATATAGCAGCAGATATAGAAGAATCAATACATCTAAAAAAACACTGGGTTTGTCAGTTGGAGCCATATCGGAGAGAAAAAGATGCTGCTGATAACTTTGAAAATAAACACATTGCCAGACATATTGACCAAAGCCTTCATTTTGTCATAAGGTAATCATCACCATCATCATCATCATCCATCAACTATGATAATAGTATCAACCTGTGCCTCTCCCAGGTCTGTGGGTAGGACTCGATAAATGGATAAAAATGTCAAATCGAGTGAACATCTGGCTGACCGCGACAAAACCATAATAATTGCAACATCTGCTAGAAATACTAGCAAGCAAGAACTGATGGGACAATAAAATAGAGAAAGTCATAGAAAATGAAGAAGGTAAAGTGCTCTGTGACTTTAGAATTCAAACAGATAGGCACCTGCTACATAACACCGTAGGCTTAACAGTTGTCAGTAAGAACAGCAGAACAGAAGAGAAAGAACTGGAGAAGATAATATGAAGACCTGCAAATAGAAGTAGAATGATTGTATCAAAAGGAAGCAAAGATAGTATCATTGGTAATAGGCATTGTGGACCCCAGGTCCTTGGCAAGAACTTAATAGGTAGATAAAATGCAAAATTCAATTTAAGCATCAGGCTGTCTGTGCAACAACTATAAAATAATGAGTACTTTAAAAATAATTCTTCACATATCTGGAAACAATATATAAGCGCAAATATTGCAATACAGAAAACTTTTAAATTGTCTTGGTTAAGAAGAATTGAAGCAGTTAAAATTAATATTTGGTCAAGCCTTAATTTTCTGACCAAATTATTCCAAACATTATCATCATGATTATCATTGACCGATAATAATAATAAATTATTTATTAAATTTATGTACTGCTCAATTCAACCACTCGGAGGTTAAAAATTAAAAATAGTATATTAAGTACGTGTCAAGTAACAAAATATGTACATTATAATAAAAAAAATTAGGATTACATATATTACAGGATTTGGTCTGGCAGCTCTGAATTTCAAACTTAATAATCAAACTTTTTTAAACAATACAGTTTGTATTGTATCATTGTTACTGAGGTTAGATTACAGAAAGTGAGGGAGCAGGATTTCCAGAGAATCTGTGCTAGTATCTTTGGACTGATAAAAACAAAAATGGAAAGCTCATACAGTAGTAAGTGGTGTATTAAAATTTAGGCTATTTCCATCAATTGTCGTATTGAGCTTGGTGTTTCCTAATTGTTAGAATCATCTGTGTTACACTTCATCGTGTATTCCTCATGCTGAATTTTGATCCCACTGATTTATATTTTCAAATCTTGGTGACCAAGACTCAATTACAATTACAAATTCTACAGGGGAGAATAGACCCCCTTGCTGTGATCCTTTGCTAACTGAAAAGCTTATGGAGAATGATCCATTCATTCTGATCTCTGCTAGTACCTACTGTATCTTTTGCTCTCTGAAATTCATTTTGTCTGTCCACTAGTGAAATTTCTTTCTAAATTCTTAAAGGCTTTTTCCATATCTAGAAATATATCTCTTCTTTTTCTTATTGTTGGAGAATTCAAATGCATTTATGATATGTCTTCTATTACCTCTCATCTTTTTTTTTAATGTAATTTGTCGATCCGTATGTGTGATTTTGGAAATGCATTTCCTCTACTAATATGGTAATGAAAATAGTTACTATAATAGCTATTAGAGTAGTGAATATCTTCAGTTGATTATAAAGGAATAGTCTATATGACTGGCTTCATCCCCTTCTTTATGTATTAATATATACCTTTATATAATATATAAAGAGGTATTATATATACCTTTTTCCAGGTTTTGGGGGTATTGATTTGTTGTCTGAATGTCATTCATCGTCTTCAATGGTGGTTCTGCTAGTTCTTGTAGCTCATTTTGTAAGATAGGACCATTAGCCCATTTAGGCTTGGTGCCTTACCAATTTTAATTTTCTTTATTGCTTCTTTAGCTACTATAAATTTGCTTAATATTTGGCTATGTTTTTTAAATCAATTTTTTACCCTCTGAGTTTTTAATATATGTTTTCAAATTTCCTTGGTCGATTTTGTGCCTGGATAATAATTCTTTAAATATTTTTGCAAGCTCCTCTGTAATTTAGTTTATGACAGTTTTATAAATCTGTTCTGATTCCTGTATTTTCCAGTGGTTTTGCTTTTATCTTTTCTCTGCCTTAACTACATCTTCATACATCATGTAGATGTATTTCAGATAGAGAACTGGTAGACATTATGGAATGAATAGCACACCAGGTGGACTTTAATGTCACAGATAAGTAATTCAGTGACATCAGATCAACTGTGATATATTTCACCACATCTATCTTTCAAGGCATGCTTCTATCCATACAACCTTTTTTCTCTTTGTTTCCCTTTCTTCCTTTTTTTCATTATCCAGACCACTTCTAAATACAAAACACCGGCCATCACAGGAGAACCACGTAGTGTTTGCTTAGCTGGCCTTTTGGCCCTGATGGTTTCTTTTCCAAGTGTCAAGCTCATCATTAATTCTATTCCCATTCACCAGTCCCTCAAGATCAACTTTTTCCACTCTTTCAGCTTCCAATAAACAACCCTGCCAGATCTAACATATATTTCTGACTATAACAAACTCCAGAACAGCTGTTAAAGGCATCTGCCAAGCTCTTAGCCACCAGAGGACTCAGACAGCAAAAGAAACAACACCCAATGAGTTGGTAGGGCATCAGCTTTCTTGTTTTGACAGCAAGTTGACCAACAGTATTGGCATGCATGGCTTGTTTTTACTATAGTTTTAAGTGGGTGAACACTAACTGCTAGTGACAGCAGGGATTCAAACTGTTAAATGAGCCACGGTGGCTCAGTGGTTAGAGTGCAGTACTGCAGGTTACTTCTGCTGCCTGCCGGCTGCCTGCAATTTGGCAGTTCAAATCTCACCAGGTTCAAGGTTGACTCAGCCTTCCATCCTTCCGAGGTGGGTAAAATGAGGATCCAAATTGTTGGGGGCAATATGCTGACTCTGTCAACCTTAGAGAGGGCTGTAAAGCGGTATATAAGTCTTAGTGCTATTGCTATTGTTAATATGGAAGTGTGTCTACTTGTCAAAGTTTAGTAGAGATTTTAAGACCCTTGAATAAGGAATAGGAGTCTGTTCTCTCAAAAATGTGACCTAAAGATTCCTCTGTGAATTCTAGAAAGAGAAGCGTCTGTCTAATATTGTCTATATTGTCAGATGATATGCTTTGCAGTTTGGGCATGTATCATACATTATAGAGAACATGTGTCCTTTAGTGATAAAGAATCATCTGTCAGTGTTCCAAGTAATGCACCCATAGGAAACAAAACTCTGAGGCAGGCAAGTTCCTCAAAGAACTATTTATTGGATACATCATATTGGCACAAACTGGTGAAAGCCGACTCTGAGTTTTCCCACAGCTTTCACCTGAGTAAAGGTTTCCCCCCACCCCAGTCAATGGTCAAGTTGTCCAATCCAAGTGCTGGCTGGTCACTTGGGTAATGTCTCCTCCTCTGGCCAGCCACCTGTGCAAATGTCCTTGGTTCCCACAGGAAAACTTTATTGTTTTGGCTACAAAACCCCATCTAACTATTCCCCCCCCCACTCCCACCGGTGTGTGGCAACCTTGGAGTCTCCAAGATGGCTTCATCCAGGCTCATTTCAGGGTTGACATCAGTATCAAATGTGCAACCCTTGAAGTTGCACACTTACACTTGGAAGGTAGATGGATCAGATATTCATGAATACTGTATATTCAATCTTTCAAATATTGTGCGATGTGTTTTTAACTGCACTAGTCATTTCTAAATCTGCACCTACATGAACTGTCAGAATACAAAAATCCTCACACTCTTTCCTCTCTTTTTAGCAAGCCATACAAGTGGCAGAAAGACTTAGCTACTGTTATCAGCTCAAGATAAAAATGTATGAATCCTAAAATAGGCAGAAAAGTTGTCCTGACAATGAAGTTACAGTTGAATGAAGAAGCACATCCAATGCCCAGCAGCCCAAAGATGCTGCGGACTTATTGGAGCCCACAGATGCCCACTAGTGGAATATATGGTATGATTCCAGAATTAATTTCTGGTACCTTGTTTCATTTCAGCACTTGAGAGATTCAGAAGAAATAGGAAGAGGAGTTGTGACTCATGCACATACCCTTTCTCTGTGATTCTTGACACATCTGAAAAGGTATCATGCAAATATTGTTCCAAAAATATGGACATAGTTGCTAGAGACACTCTGTGCTTCTGCCAGTTAACGTGACTCCAGTTTAGTCTTGATCCATGTCTTGTTAGCTGAAATGAACCTGATTTTAAATATTTCAGGAAAAGGAATTGGGTGTCCGTTCATCTATTCATATGATCTGATCTGATGCTGATTTGGAAGGCACTTGTCTCCACCAAAATGACTTAACTTCTGTTAGAACGCCTCATAGTGACTATGATCTGGATCAGATTTGGAGATAGAGGAAATTGAGATTATTAAAGATCCCCCATTACCATATGATGCTGTAGCTTGTAGAGTGTTATTATATAAACTTCATTAGAGACAGATGGTTGCTTTTAAAAAATAAAACAACAAGCATGATACCAAATTTTTCCATTTCACTGTACCTTTCCTCCAAGCCCAGAAACCAACCGCTGAAACTTGTCAAATGTTGCCATTCTACATGTGAGTCATCCTGGGAACCCTACTTGCTGCCATCAAACGGTCAGCTTCTAAAGGAACATATGCTTCCAGTTAGCAATAAGAGACCTAAACAAGTGCATGCGATGGCACCAGCACAAATAGTGTGTTTCATTTCAAGTTATTTATAGCTGTCCTTTTGGAGTTGGAAATTATTAAAGCTAATCGTCAAGGATATAAGAATGCTGCATGCTGGGCAACAAACATACCTAACAGGTAGCAGGTTGTGCCTGCTCTTTTTCAAGACACTAAACTCATTTGATATCCCTTTTAATGATGGAGGAATGACCACTGGAGGTGATTTATCAAGACGGCTGCTGTGCAACCTCGGATCATTTTCAACAAGACCTAGGAGGGCAGAGTGCCAACTCTGCATGGAATCTACATGCAATTGCTACGCACCATAAATCATGGGCCATAATCTATTTTGGGGGTCAAGGGCCATAGTTATTGTGGGAGGTGTGGGAACCACATGTGGATTGAAGCCAGGAGGAAGTGGACATAAGCAAAACAATTGCCTCTTCTTTTACATAAATACAGTAACACAAATTATACCCATGTATAGCTCCCCTTATATTTGGGGTTCCATCACAAGATGAGGTTGCACAAGAATAAATAACGAAATCCAGACAGCTCTGACGAAAGGACAAATATTTATTCCCAAAAGCAAAGGGGTTTGCTTTGGGAACAGCTGCAGGGAAGTGGGGTACAGCAGGATGCTTTTATAGAGAAGCTTGTCCTGGGTGTGGCAGCATGTATGTGCTGATTCTAGGGTGACACTTGTGGGGCATGTGTGTATGGTGTGTATTCTTGTGAATGTGCAGTTCTGCTGGGAGACCAATTTAATGAACTCTATTTGTGTTTGCAGACCTTCTCTTTCGATATGTGGATTAGGGCTGGGTAACTTATTTGGGGTTTTGAGGAAGTTTAAGCAAAAGATCTTTGTTTTTTTTAAAAAACTTGATTAGCTTAGTTTCAGCTTGACTGTCAATTATCTAGTGGAGACTCTGATTCTTGGTCCATTGTGGATTCTGTTAATGTTTTAATCATAATCATAAGTTTATTTATCAAGCATATATAAGATAACAGGTAAAAGTATAAACATAATTTGAATACATGAAAAGAGTAAGTAAAAAGGAATATTAGGACAGGGACGGTAGGCACGCTGGTGCATTTATGCACGTCCCTTACAGACCTCTTAGGAATGAGGTGAGGTCAACAGTAGACAGTTTAAAGTTAAAGTTTTGGGGATTTGGGGAAAGAAACTACAGAGTCAGGTAGGGCATTCCAGGCATTGACCTGTTACTGAAGTCATATTTTCTGCAGTCGAGTTTGGAGCGGTTTACCTTGAGTTTGTATCTATTATTTGCTTGTGTATTGTTGTGGCTGAAGCTGAAATAGTCGTTGACAGGAAGATGTAGTCGTTTTAAATAGTTGTTTTAAGGGAAGATGGAAACAGTATAAAGAATAAAATATATTTTGATATCAAACTTCCCACGCTTCCTTACAACTATCTTGAGCAGGGTTGTCAGAAGGATCTGGAATCAGAATCAGAATACAGCTGGAAGGTACCTTGGAGGTCTTCTAGTCCAACCCTACCTTTGTCAATGATTTACTTGCAAATCTGAAAAGATTGCTATTATACAGTAGCTGGAAGAGAACTATGTGTTAAGTGCAAGTCGGGATGAGATGGATCTACTGGCCAATGAGAACCAATTCATTACCTCCTGTTGCTACTGAAAACAGAGATCTGTTTTGCATCACAGTATGATTAGCTAACCAGTTGGAAAAATATCCACCAAAATAGCTTTTGAGGGATACACCTAGTGTGTGCATTCATTCTATAAATCAAGGAGATGGGAGGCACACATTTTTCCACTGTAGTCATTTTTTTTTTTATATTACAAGTACTTTAAGGATGGGGCACAGGGATGGAATTTTTCCCTCTCCTTTTGAAATATATTTTCATACGGAGGCAGAAGTTCTATGGAAAAAACCAGACTTAGTAGTTTATCGCACTTATTTCTTTTCTAATTTCTTTTCTTAAAATGCAGAAAATTGTCTACAGTTAATTGTCTGACTCTTGTGAAAACGTTACAGGTTCTGAGTGATTCACTAAAAGGGCTGAGCAAGGGATTGGTTGCAGCCAGCAAATTGACAGCTTTGTTGTAAATGAAAGACTCTCGGGAACAAAACTATGAATCCCAACATAACCGAGCCAACTTTAATCAGTCCTGTGTAGGTGAAGGTCAGATGAAAGGACCCATTCTAAATTTCTTTTGGCTTCAAGACAGGAGCTACAGAAGACTGTGACCTCTTGATGAGACAAATGGCTGGGGTCATTAAAAAAAAAAAGATGTTTGCAATTTTGGAGAAGAGTAGATAGTTCTGCCAGACTTAAAACTAAATACAGATTTCAGCTACAAAAAGAAAAAAAAGTCATGGGGTCTCTGCTGAAATCTTTTTTTTTCTCTTGAAGGATGATGAATTTGGGGAGAGGGGCAATCTTTTTTCCTTAAATTTAGTTAAACTTTAATATAATGTATATATATATATATATACATAATACATCGTCATTGCTGTATATTCTCCAAAGCTAAGTTCCTTCCCCCATCCCAAAAAAGATAAACTAATGTTAGATTGAATGCCATATTGGAAATTAGATTGAAACAACTGTTTAGTAATACTGTAAACAATATATTCATGAAAGGACCATGAGGTCCTCCTAACTCTGCTTCTCATTCTGAAAGATTGCTTCTCGATAGTGAAATGGTGACAGCTGTTTTTCAGTAAGCAATAAGAGTTTAGCAAAATCCATTCATGCAGCAGAATGAAATTATATACCAAAATAGCACATCAGGAGAAACGTCCTTGACGCCTCCCTTGATGCAAGGTGTTCTTGATTTAAATGTTGGCATTCATTTTTCCAGTTTGAAGCGCATGATACAGTTCATCCTATCACCTAAGATCCCATTCCTTTCCTTTCTACTACCCATGTAGCTCCATGTTTAGTTATGGTCCTTTGGGAGAAGGATAAAGGTTGGAACAATCGCCCTATGGATAAAATGGGTGTGAGAAGGTCCTTCTACTGATGTAGCAAAATTTATTCACTTATCAAATTAGAAGCAGCCCAAATCCTTCACAGAGAGACTCAGAGCTGTGTGCAAGTAAAATATTACAACATAAAAACCATACGTGAAATTTATAAAAGAGGCAAAGATGGTTAAAATTCAACATTAAAAGTTAATTATAAGGCAGAGGAAGGGCCTTCAGGGCACTAATCAGCACCATGGCTGGGTGCTCTTCTGTGAGCCCCAAGCAAGATAGCGGAGGCAGAGCGCCTGCCTTACCTCTGGGGCGGAGAGAGAATGTTCCAAGCAGCAAGGCCAATGGAGATAGAGAAGGCTCTTTTCCTGGACCCCAGCAGTTGGAATGATGTAACGTGATCCATAGCATACCCTTCCTGCAGTGGTGAAATCCAAATTTTTTTACTACTGGTTCTGTGGACGTGGTTTGGTGGGCATGGCAGGGGAAGGATACTGCAAAATCTCCATTTCCTCCCCATTCCAGGATATTGCAAAATCTCCATTCCCACCCCACTCTGGGGCCAGCCAGAGGTGATATTTGCCAGTTCTCTGAACTACTCAAAATTTCCACTACCACTTCTCCGAACTGCTCAAAATTTCCACTACCGGTTCTCCAGAACCTGTCAGAACCTGCTGGATTTCTCCCCTGCCTTCCTACCTGAAAGGTAGGATGGGCTGATGTAATGAAGAAGGTTCAACAGGTAACCAGATCATATGCCATGTACAGTTTAGAGGTCATAACAACACTTTGAATTGGATTTGAAAGCAAATCGGCATGCGATGCAGCTTGTGCAGCAGAAGCATTACATGCACTATCCTTTGGGCACCCAAGATTGCCTTGCATATCATAGTCTGTAAAAAAAAGTGGGCCTGATTGGCACACATGGATTATTATTTTTATAGTGCTGTGAAACAACGGTAATAACAGCACGCACAGCACAAAAGCTCAATGGGTTCCACCTATGTTGCCTGTGGATAATTCTGGGTGTCACTTGGGGCGACCATGTCACTACCAATGAGGAAATTTTGCAGCAAAGTGGTTCCAGGAAGTTGCAGATTATTGTGACGGAACATTGAATGTGTCTAGCTGGCCATATTCTTCACTTGCCAAAACAACGATACCCCAAAAACGCTGCACGACAGGAGCTGCTAGAGAGAAAGCAGAGGCAAGGTAGATCACGCAACATTTGGCATCAGACATTAAAAGATGACCTAGGGATAGTAGACATCAAATCAGAAGATGTTGAAGATGCTGCTGTGGATAGATTCATTGGAAGAAGCTTGCTGCCCTATGCATTTCCCATGAAAGGAACCGATGATGATGATGAGGGTTGCCTTTCTTTACACAAAAAAGTACTCACTGATCCCTGTAATACCAATGACTTAAACAGTAGAGAATAAAAGGGAGTGTAGTTTGTATACAAAGTACAGTTTTTATTAACACATATTTGGCCATTGCTCCAATTTAAATATAAATGAAACGTACTTGCTATCCAGATGCTAACTGTTAATGACTTTCTGTCTACCTGTAGTTCTTGACCTTTAAAATGGATATGGGCTGGACAGACCTTCAAAGAAAATCATGGTCTCTAGGAGAAATTGGGCTTAAACAAACTGAGATCAGACGTTTATTTGTGAGAAAGGTGTCATATATTAAAGCTTCCTTGAAATTGGTGATTTAATTCTACTAATGCTGAGGTGTTATCCAAATTGCATCTGTGCAGAAATAAATAAAGTTACGATCTGAATGTTATTTTTCTGGATATTAGATTCAGCAGAAATCTTAAGACTATGGAAAGCTTTCCTGATTTCCTCAACTTTTTTCATCTTGAGCAAATGGATTTATTCCAAGGATCTCTGGTATTTCTCTAAATATTTCTTCTAAATTAGAAAGATTGAATAGTCCTGGTATTTTACAGAACTTGTAAGAATTTATGATCTGGTCCAAACATTAATGCTACTGGGATTTGTATTTATATTGTGAGAAAAAAGTTTTTGCTTTTATTGAAGAATGTTTCCCTTCATTTAAAGAAAAAGGGAAAGAGAAAGCACACATTTTTTACTGAATGTTTAAAAACTGGGATTCGGTTTAAGACAATTCATTATTTTATATTATACATATATCATGTGTGTATATCACAGATGATCTGGGAAAACAGATCTATATGCTCATTTGAAATATATATAGGAAACACCCATTTACTTCTATGGGTTTATGCTGAAATTCACATTCACTTTGAAAGAAAACTTTCTACAGTTTTTGCAGTTACTCTGCCTACATAGCTAATTCTCACTTCTATTTTTTTCAGGGAAATTCCTTTTTTCCGGTTTGGACTAGAGTGAATAACCCTAAATTCCAGCATAGGAGCCAAATGCTGTTTTCCATTACTGAAAAAAATAAAGGTCTGGCTTTTATTTGGGACTTGATAGGTCTTTCGGTTTCCATTCCTGCGTGAAGGTCTAGGCACAGTCTAAATTGCTGAACTTTGTTGTTGCTGTTGTTTGGCCTTTCAGCTCTTGCAGGTGGGATTTCAGACCTGATACCTACTTTATGTGGCAAGCATGCTTTCTGCGTGTACATTGGTCATGCTACAGTTCCATGGCTTCAGCCTTCAGCAACTTTTCAACTTCTCCAATGCAGGAATTCTACTCCAACTGTCTCCACTCCATCTTTATTCAGATCATTAGAGAGAACTGAATTCCAAGTAATAGATCCATCGCGAGCAAAAACTCCAAGGCAGGTGGATTCCTCAAAGAATAACTTTATTGGAAATATCATATTGGCACATATCTGGTGAAAACCAACTCTGAGGGGCCCCTTGGTTTTCACCTAATTAAAAGTGAAAGTTTTTCCCTCAACCCCAATCAATCAGTCACATGGCCCAATCAAGGCAGAGTCTGCTGGTCTGGTGACTCTGTCCTCCTTCCTCCGGCCAGGTGTGAGAACGTCCTTGGTTCCCAAGAGAAAGTATTTTATTTTGACTACACAACTATCTCTAATCCCCCCCTCCCTATCCCTTGCTCCAGGGTGGCAGCACTGAAGCTCCAAGATGGCTTCGGCCTGGTCAGCTTCAGGGTTGACATAGAGTGGTCTTGGAAACAAGCGTTCATTGGAGGAAGCAGAGGACTTTGGCCTCCAAAATCAAAGCCCCCAATACCCACAGACTCGAGGTGTCCTTATTCATAGGTCTGTGGAGATTCTCAGTCATCCAAGTCATGGTTGTCCCAACGGTGCTTTTTCAGGAGGCAACTGGACTTTCTTGTTTTTTCTTTTGAAGATGTTCTCGCTTCTCATCTAAGAAGCTTCTTCAGCTCTGACAGGATAGTAGGGAATAGAAGGATTTATATTCCTTGCAGACAGCTAGTCATTTGCATCCTTTTTTGGAGAATATACCTGGATGACTGAGAATCTCCATAGATATTCACATTAACACCTGTAATTTGGAAGGCCCCAGGACACACTCAAGACTTTAGTTGTGTTTCATTTTGAGCACTTCTGTTTAATACTGTATGGACTGGTACTCTGATTTTGAAAGGCACATATTTCAAGTCAGTGGCTTCTAGCAGTTATTTTTTAGAGTTGATCAAATATCACTTTAAAACTAAGGCAAATAAGAATGTTTTGGGTAGAATCATGTACTATAAAACCTGAGTTACATGTAGGAGAAGGAAGAAATGTTTAAAATCCCACTTGATATATACATGTACATGTGGCACACAGATGTTACATAGAGCCCCATCTTTCTCTTTCTTTACTTTTCTACATTAGGTTTTTATGTGTCTTGTTTTTTCTTCTCCGTTTTATAAAGTAAAGTCACCTCTTCCCTCCCCATAGCTTTCTTCTATTCCAAACACTATGGTGATATGCTTTGGAAGGCATCCCTGCAGGGTAAAAGAGAAGATAAATAATTACCTGTGACAGAAATTTGGTTCTGTAGGCCTCAGAGTGAAAGACAATCACAATGGGAATATTTTAACCCACATATATTATACATCGGACAGGAAAGTTCCTATAAGATTGTCTGTTTTGATGTTATAATGATTTATAGCTATGTCATTGCTGATCCCAGCCTATTGCAATTCCTCTTATTGTAATAATCACTTCTGCTGCTTCTTGTAGACATTGTTGGAGGAAAGCCATGGTAGCAGAAATAAAAAGGAGTCTGGTAGCCCTGTTTCTAAATAACAACTTTGATTAAAAGGCATAAGTTTTTGTGAGCTACAGTCTTTTGATAAAATATGTTAGTCGGAAAAGGTGCTGTTAGACTTCCCCTGATTTTCTTATCAATATTAGAAACTAACTTATTAGAAACAACATTAGAAACTATTTGCAACAGATAAATATTATATTAGAAATATTCAGTATATAATAGATAATATTTCAAGGCCAAACTACACAGATTTTAGTGACATTAAACATAAGTGACAACTTCTTTCTCTAGCTATGAATGCTCATATTCTGGTAACATTTGACCTGAATTTCAGTACGGTACAGTTTGGTATAGTGGTTAAGACACCGGGGACAGGGTAGAAAGTGTGAGACCGTGAGTTCAAATGCTGCCTTAGTCATAAAAGCCAGGTGAGCGACCCCAGGCCAGTTACTCTCTCTCAGCTCAACCCACCTCACAAGGTTGTAGTGGGAAAAATAGGAGGAGAAAAGTGTTTGTATATGTTCACCATGCTGAGATATGTGTACAAAATAATAAAGGCAGGAGACAAACAAATAGGTAAATAAACAAATATGGGGTTGCCATTGAAGACAGTTCAGAAAGCACAACAGCTAGGTTTCGGCAAGTGATTAGGTGCAAATGAAGTGCACTTCAAAATGATATTGCCAAATAAACCTTTAAAAATAAGCATTCTTTGGGTTCACGTACCTTAAGAACAGACACAAGCTATGATCCATGCCAGTGGTGAAATGTAAAATTGGTTACTACCGGTTCTGTGGGGGTGGCTTGGTGGGAGGGTAATATGACTGTATGGGCGTGGCCAACTTTTTTATTATTATTTTTAAAACCATTTTTTCTACAACCTCTTTGGCCAAAGAGGTTGTAAAAAAATGCTTTAAAAAGCCTCTGACAATCACAGCTGACTTGCCTGGTCGGCAGAGGCTTTTTCTTCTTTTTTTTAAGCCTCTGATGATCCCAGCTGACTTGCCTGATCAGCAGAGGCTTTTTCTTCTTTTTTTTAAGCCTCTGATGATCCCAGCTGACTTGCCTGATCAGCAGAGGCTTTTTCTTTTTTTTTTTTAAGCCTCTGAAGTTCACAGCTCACTTGCCTGATCGGCAGCAGCTTTTTATTTATTTTTTTTAAGCCTCTGATGATCCCAGCTGAATTGTCTGATCGGCAGAGGCTTTTTTTCTTTTAAAAACATTTTTTTCTACAACCTCTTCGTCTGAATAGGTTGTAGAAAAAATGCTTTTAAAAGCCTCTGATGATCCCAGCTGAGCCGCGCGATCATCAGAGGCTTTTTTTTTTTTACTTTTAAAAGCATTTTTTCGGCTGAAGAGGTTGTAGAAAAAATGCTTTTAAAAATAAAAAAAAGCCTCTGATGATTGCGGGGCTCAGCTGGGCATGGGGGGGGGCAGGGATTTTTGCTATCGGTTCTCCGAACCACCCGCCGCAATCGCTACCGGATCGGGCGATCCGGTCCGAACCGGGAGCATTTCACCCCTGATCCATGCTTACTTTGGGAAAACACTGGCTAGATAGGTTTGTCTAACATCCTGTATAACATATTTGAAATAGTGGGTGGAAAAGTTGTATATGTTTGTGCATTTAATTTGCTGTAGCCTTTATGAGATTGAATTCTATTAAATTTTTAATTTTTAATTTTTAATTTAACTTTAATTTAACCATTTGTGTTTTTAGTTGTTATATTGTTATAGAAGGGAAGAGATATGACCTATCTCCTGTTTACAACACAGTTCTTTCAGCTGTTCCAAGAAGGTTCCACACCCATTTGCATTGTCATTCAGGTGATCCTGAGGGCACAGATAAATCTCTAAGTGCTCTCAACAATTCTCAGAAAGTGTGCTAACAACCAGATGAATATTGCAAAGAATATAAATCCTTCCATTCTCTATCATTCAGTCAGAACTGAAGAAGCTTCTTGGATGAGAAGTGAAATGTCTTCAAACAAAACAAAGCAAGTCCAGTTGCCTTTTGAAAAACCACGTTTGGGACAACAGTCTTTTCTGCATGGTTGACATTGCCTAGCATTGGAAAGCTTTGAAAGTACAGTATAGACATTCTTATACCACCAAGGAGAAATCAGGCAGTTGTTAGAAGGTTGTGAATTCCTTGCCCAGCTGGTCAGCACCTAGCTGACCATGGCTGATTTTCAAAATCAAATAGGTTTGGCCTTTCTTAGTACTTAGATAAGAGACAACTAGGAAATCTCAGGTTTACTATAAAATTGGGAGGCAGGGAAATCTGGGAGAAGGCGATGTAAAATCACTTCCATATTGTGGCCAAGGAAACTGCATCAATGTGAACATACAAGGCACCAGAAGTTAAACTTGATTCAAAAGTATTTTACTTTTTACTGCTAAATCCTTTTTTCTTTCCACTACTACATCAAGAATCTATGCATTAGTAACTGGTATATCTGTAGCTGATACCCTGTTTTCCCTAAAATAAGACATCCCCTGATAATAAGCCCAATCGGGCTTTTGAGCGCATGTGCTAAAATAACCCCCCCCCAAAATAAGCCCTCCCTGAAAATATTTAAACGCATGCACAGCTGGTCCCTGCCATTTCCTCTGGTTAGGATTAGGGAGACAGAGCTGAAAATCAAGTAAGATGACAAGAGGAGCCCCGTCTTGCTCCACGTGTCCCAAAATAATGTGACATCCCTGAAAATAAGGCCAAGCACTTATTTCAGGGTTCAAAAAAAATATAAGACAGGATCTTATTTTCAGGGAAACATGGGTAGTTGGCAATAACGTAGGGGCTGGAATATTGTTTTCTCTAAACTTTAATAGCAGTCAGCAGAATCCATAGCTGTTAACCAAAGCAAGGCGATTAAACTATTTTACAAATTGTTTATAATATAATGATGTTAAGCTAAAGGCTTGAGAGATGATAGATAATACTGGAACTGAGATGAAATAATTACTGAGCAATCAATTGTAAAAAGCATGGCGCAGGACAAAGACAAAGGCAATCTGAAGCATTTCAGGACATTGGACAGCTCCCACTGAAAACTGATGTTGTTCCTATTAAATCTAATGTGCATGGCAGGGTTGGGGCCGCGCGTGGGTGCTTGCTTTGCTCGCAAGTGCGTGCGCTCTTCTGCACAAGTGCAGAAGCATTTTCATGACGTCAGGGCCAGTGGGCGGAGCCTCCCGCCTGTTTTACTACCAGTTCTAAAGAACCAGTGCAAACCGGGGGCGACCCACCACTGGTCCATG